TTCTCACAATCCTGAAGAGGAAGGTGGAAAAATTGCTCTTGAGCATCCCAGCTCACTGCTGGAAGGGGCTGTGTCTCTGGAGACGTGGCACTGACAGACACCAGGAGTTTGACTCTGCTGTCACCTCAATTATCAGGGAACATCTCCGCAATGTGTCATAACCCAGGGCTAAAATTATCCCTATATCTTATCTGCTCCCCACACCCACTCTGAGGGTCTGGTTCCTGCTGCCAGGGGATTCCAGCTGCCGCTTTGTGGGACACGCCGGTGTGATGCAGCACAGGCCGTGAGGCTGTGACCGGCGTCTCATGCTTCATTTGCTTTGTGGGATTTTTCTACTTATTTAGAAAAAAAAGCGGCCTGAGGAAAAACACAATCAGCATGTTCAGAAATCTTTTACAATCGCAGTAAAGGAACATTTTCTCATCAAAACTCTTTCAATGAAAATATTATGAATAGTTCTGGTTCTTGGCTTTTTTTTTATTATAAATACTTCCAGTGGAGGTGTTCAACTTCCTACTGTACCTCCAGGAAGAGCCTTTAGCCTAATTTTTTTACTTTTAACCACTTGAGTGCTTCAAGACCTCCTAAAGCAACCTCAAACACTCAATAACAGCTCTGTACCCCTTCAGAGCCACGCACTGACCAGGGGAACAGTCAGCTGTAGGTTTTGCTGGCAGCAAAGGTGACCTGAAAATGCCTGTAACGGATGCAGTATTTCCCCTCCTCCCCTTCAGATACATAGAAGATAAAAGTCTGGGCTTGTAGGAGGGATTGAAAAACCATCTTCTTCCAAAGTGGCCTTTGAGTCTGTTGGTCCAGAAGTCACCTTGGAGCACAAAAGTATAAACCTTGGCAAACTTCTGATTTACAGGACGCATTTAAGCCCTCTGGGGAAACCCAAGGTGAAGTTTTATGCTCATCTCCTCCATCCCCGTTGCGAGCGAGCTGATGTCTGCTTTTAGTGGTAACCCAGGGAAACCACGGCAGCCCAATAACTGGAGGCACGAACTGGCAAAAGCAAATCACATCAGCATGAAGCTCAGCAGAGCTGGGGGAGCAGTTTTCCATACAGAAGATTTAGGAAGCATCGCAAGACCAAGAACTGGCTCCTGCTTTTGTGTCACTTGATTTTTCTGGTCCCTTCCCCCCGTGTCTCTCCCACGCTCCTGTTTGGAAGGAAGAAGAAAACTCACATCATGCTGAATTCTCTAGTCTCACGCAAAGTCTGATTTTTGTTGAGCTGACTGAGAGAGGCTGATAGCTGCTTTTTTTTTTTTTCCCTTCCAGAAGTGTGACTTCATTTACATAAATTTCCATTTGTCTCTCATGAGCTTGTGAAGCCCCATCCCTGCATTTGCTATGTCTTCTGTGTCCTGCAAAAACCCTGTGTGATTTTTAATGCTTCATGTTCTGGCTGGAATTAAAATCACCTTTGGCAACAGAGGGGTAAGAGAAAGCTGGGGTGAAAAGTGCATCATCTTTAGCGAGCCAGGAAGGTTTGGTGCCTGGGCAGGGCAGGACCCCCCATGGCCACCAAGATGGGGCTGGGAAGGTCAGTGTCACCCCCGTGGGGGACTGTGAAGGTGTGGTACCTCTGAGGACTGGGTGACTCACAGCGGGTGTCTCTGCCCCATCGTCCCATCCATCAGATGAGAGATATCTCAGGGATGCCCTCATGGCGATGGGGTCCAGGCAGAGATTTCTGATGGGAGCTCACGCTCCGACAGCACCTACATTGTCACCGTCCTGTACAGCACAGCCAGAGAAGAGCGATTCGGGACTCTGAGTGTTATTGCTCAGGTGGTACTGGACGGGAAGGTTGTTGTTCTGTACAAGAGGTGATTTGGCCCTGAGGACTAATCCCATCCCACAGATCCTGCCAGTCTGGTGCTTGAATGGCTTTTAGGACAGCACTGATTACAGGAGCATCAGCAGCATGGAAGTGGGTTAGTGTTTCATTCTCTCCTGCCAGTGGCAAACATTGTGGTATTGGATTTTCTTTTCTTTTTTTTTTTTTTTCATGAGGATTTAACACGCAGTCACAGGGTCTATGGTGCTGGGGTTTTTTTTTACACTAGAGAGCAGCCAGGGCTCAGCCTTTCCATGCACAGCTTTGTGCTTCTGCACTCGGCTCATGCTGCACGTCACTGTCCATCGTGGTGGGTTTACACTGATAAAACCGCATCAGTTTTAACAGAGAGGAGGATCAGACTGAACCATGCTTGGTGATAGCAGAGATGAGGCCAGACCACTTTGCTTGTGCATCCAAACAGCCCTGAATTAATTTAGACCCAGTATCACACAGGCTGTCCTTTCCACACTAAGCCAACATGAAGCCCAAGACTTTCATGTCAAAAATTAACCTGGAGACTGTCTAAATCCTCCTTCCCCAGGACAGAACGATCTGTAAAGATATATAAGGACCTAAAGGCTCCCATAGGTGTGCCCTGACAGCCGTAGCCGCTTTAGACCCGGTGATATTAGGAGTTTCAGGGATGTAAAAAATCCCATTAAACACCCTCTACCAGTCTTCCTGCTAAGATCTTTGCATATATAGTCCTGGGAGCCCAGAGCAGATCCTCTTGAAGCAGGTGGGAAACTTTCCGCTGGCTTTGAAGAGGTGTTTGTGGCATCAGCTCCAGCAGTGTGCGAAGTCACCTGTAAATAAAGTGCCGCTGAACCGACGTGCACAGTGTGCTGGGGTCTGGACTCGCACAACCCAGCAAGCAGCCGGCCAGGAAATACACCGAATACAGAGAGTTTGCGTTTTAGCTTTTCTAGCCTCGACGGTCCCCGAGAGTTTGTGTTTGCAAATAATTCTTTCCACAAATTAAAACCTTCTGCTTCTGGGGAAAATATTGACTTTATATTTTTTAAGTATATGAGAATTCTGGGATAAATCAAGACACGGGGGAAACAAAAATAATCTTTAAATATAGCCTTTCATAGAAAGCATGCAATTTTCACACTTTTACCATAACAATTCATAAAAGGGAAAGCCAGTGCTATTCTAGACAATTTCCCAAGTTCCTTAAAGACTTTGCAATACAATTATGGAATGAATCGAGGCTTTAAAGAAAGCTCAGAGAAGACTTTCTGAGTTCTGCGCAATTATATTAGGCGAGACTAATTTATAGCTAGAGTGAAGTTTTTGAACGAAAGCCAATAAACTCTGAAGCTCAGGTGACAGAGTGAAGCAGTTCCAGAGTCAAGCGTTTCCTTTTGCTGATGTGCAAACGTCGCTCAACAGCAGGCAACAAGGGCATTCAGCAGCTAAAGCCGTGGAAATGAGAGCGGGGGAACAACGGGGCTCATTTCTTAATCTGACCCAGTAAACCTGAGCAGGTCGTTTCACCCCTGTATGTGCCCGCTCAGCCCAGCTGCATCATGAAGGTTAAATAAATGAAGTCGGTTCATTACAAGCACAAATTACTCTCTCAGTGAAATGGTGTGGTTCTGCACCAGCTGAGAACTTGGGCCCTACTGCTTAATGATCTTTCTTAGCATCTCAAGACGCCTCCAAAAGATAACTCTTCTTTATATGCAGTAGCCGGTGAGATCTTTTAGAAGCTTAGAAAACTGCTATATATTTAACAAAAGAGGCCATTAACAGTTGTAACGGTGGGGCATATCTAGGAATATTTTTCGGTCCGCAGAGGAGCTCTATTATTATTACCAGCATAAACGAGAGATGTTCTCACCATGTGGGTTGCGAGAGACGAAACCCAGCTGGTACTTTCGCTAAACACATTGAGCTCTGGAGCGCAAAGCTGTACAGAGACTTGATCCATCTAAAGAAAACTTTGGCAACAACAACGCTGCCTGTCTTCACCAAAAGAGGAGTTGCATCTTTCTCAGATTTATTGAACAAAGAAACTTAAGTGCTTCTGATTGCCAGTGCACCTGTTCCCCATATGCTTTATGAGCTTCTTCTTTCTTTCTTTTATGGATCCTCTGTAGCATCTTGTGGGTGTGGTTGGATTCTGTCTTCAACTTTCCATTCATCTCTGGCAACTCTGAATCCCTCCAGAGCAAAGAGGCCACACATCTGCGCTAGATACTGGCTGTACAGCAAATACTTGTACGCTGAGGGGATGGTCCCGGGTGGGTGGGTGGGAGGGGAGGTCTCCATCCCAGCACCCCTTTGGAGATGAGGCTTCCCTGGTTGGGCGGTCTGCAGAGGGAAGCGAGGTTGGATTGGACTGCTGGGTTACTGCTGCGTTTGAGGGCACTGGGGTGTAAGATACGCGGCTATCTGAGGACAAAGTCAGCATGTCTTGTAACTCTACCGCGGGGCAGAGATCCCTACTGGCTTTAGTAGTCTGATCTTTTTGTTGTTTTAGCGCTTTTAATAAAATTGCTTCCACAGTGATTTGCAGCACACCATTTAATTCTTGTTAAAGTTATGAAATTTTTAAAATTTAAGGGGCTTCTGGTTTGTCCCACGTTCATCTCGGTGATGTGCTGAGCCTCCTCCTGAGCCGTACGGTGGAGAGGACAAGCCCCAGGGGTGCCCAGCCCCTCCGTGCTGCTCGCGCGGCGGCTTGCCACCCCACCATGGCCACAGACATGCAAGCAAATCCTACACATGCCTCTATTTCCCTAGGCTGCTCTTTGGTAAACTCAGCTCCAGCGGGGTTTCTAGACAGCCCACAAGGCCCTCACAAAGCCTTCCTGCATTTGTTTGACACAAACAGTGACTTCCACTTGATTCAATCACTGCTTAATTTGATCCTCCATTTAATTTTATCAAAACTGTAGTAATCAAATAATTTGTACTAAAACCATTACAACTTCCACTTGTTTATTCTGATCAATTTTAATCCTTTAAGGCACAAGGTTTATTGGATAATTTGGTTATGATAACAAAATGCTGTCATTAAATCGACAAGGAAAGGGCAGAACACAAAAAATAAAGTTAAAAAGATCTCAGGGAGTGCTCATAATAAAGAAAAAATACAATAACATACTGGTATTTAGAAGTCACGCTACGCACAATGAAAGGTAAGAAGCATCCTGCTGTTCACGAGATGAAAAGATCGATGGTATGTTTCGGCCAAGACATTTCTGGCAATGAACTGCACTGAAAAGGGGAAGACAACATAATTGGATGCGAATGAATTTGCCTTTTTTGAGTGTTGACCCATGTGAATGAACGTATGTCAGTGGCGGTTGAGTTTTTCCCTCCGTGCAATAAGCCTTCAAAAGCCCAAGGCAGCGGTGTAAAAAGAGGGAAAAGATTCCCGCTGCAGGCTGTTTCTCTGTTGCTTTGAGAAATAAAACACAATCTCCTGCTCCGCTGATCCATCTCATCCCTTGACCGTGCCACGTCTCTCCCCCTCCGCAGGTCAACACTTTCATCTCCTTCGTCTTCCCCATGGTCGTCATTTCTGTGCTCAACACCATCATCGCCAACCAGCTCATGGTCATGTTCAGGCAGGCTGCCCAAGAAAACCAGGTCTGCACCATCGGCGGGCAGCAGACGATGCTCAGCATGTCCATGGAGCCCAGCCGCGTGCAAGCCCTGAAGCACGGCGTCAGGGTCCTACGTAAGTATCCCCGTGTTTTGGCATGGAACCGTCTAGAGGTGTCTAAGTAAATACAATCTGAAGAGTAATAGGTTGAAATGGGTAAACGTTTTTCACTCAAAGCATACTTTAAATTAAAATTAGCTCTTTTTCGAAATGCAAATTGCCCCCAAACACTTGGACATTTGCCAACATTGTCCAGTTCTTGTCTCAAAGCTCCAGACTTTGGGAAATAAATTTGTTTGTTCTCTTGGTCTCTCTTCTTCTTGATCTATTTCTTGCTGAGTCACTAACAGTTTTGTAGGGAATTTTATCCTCTATTTCCCACCATCATCTTTTTCTCCCACTTTTCTGAGTCCTAAGCTTCCCTTCAGGTTGTTTTTTTTTTAAAAAATCTTATAGGGAAAGGAAACTAGAGGGAGATTTAAGTATTACTTAATTAATTGTGCACAATGGGATAGAAGTTGAGGAAAATAAAATTCACATTTAAATATATTTCCTATTCAGCAAAACAGAAACAACTCGATAACATCAAGCTTCCCTGATTCTTTTGACCCAGCTAATCACAATATTTAAAAAACAAAAAAAAGACATTTTTCCCCAAGACAACTTAGTATGTAGCAGAAATTTAAAAAAAAAAAAAAAAAAAAAAAAAAAAAAAAAACTAATTTTTGCGGCCCTTTGAGGGCTGGGTATCTAAGCATATTTCAGACAAATTCTCAAGCCCTGTTCTGGAAAATATCTTTGTCTATATTTCACACTCAATAAAGGGTTTATGTTTGCATGTCTCAAACAATACTGGTAGCTGGGAGGACAAGTGGCTATTTACCTTCACGGAGAAACTAGACAGAACTGTGATCTCCATGGATGAAGACAGAAAGAGATTCAATTCAGGTTTTATTGTCCCAAACTACCACATTTAGGGTAATCGCAAATAATCCTTTTTTTTTTTTTTTTTTTTTTTTCCTTTGCTTGTTGATATGTAAAGCTAAAGAACAGACCTGCTCACACAGAGAGACTCTCTGAAAAAGCAAAACTAGCCCAGCATTTTCATGATGTTTCAACAACAACTTAAGCCTTGCGTAATATCGCTCTATTCCTTTTCTTTTCCTGCAGAGCTTTGGTTCAGACAATGGTTAAATAAAAAGATACTGCACCCAGCAATTGTGCCGTACTGCAAAAATACTGGATGGCTTAATTAAATAAACTGAGGAAAAGACTAAAGAATCTGGTAGCTTAAACTGACAGATGATAAAGCAAAAGCTGATCAAAAATAGTACCTAAAAAAAAAAACCCATCTAACAAATATGGCGATGCTGGTTTTAAACTGTGAGAGTCCTCCTGCACGTTAGTGAGAGTTTGTTAGCAGCAAAGCTTTCTGACCGCTGCTTTTCATGGCAAAGCTCTTGGTCGCTGAAGCGCTTTGGCCAAGGCCCCGTTTGCAACAAGAAATCCCTAGAGGAGGCACCAAGAACCTCCATGAGATATTTTTTTTTTCCAGCTGTTTTTTTTTGGCCAGGGATGTGTCCCTCAGCGTGCTGTGCCCATGCCCTAGGCAAGCCACCACCTGCATCCCAGCTTCAAACACCACGTGGGGAAATCCCTACTGAGAAAAAGGAGAGAAAAACCTGGAAGACAAGAAATTCCCCATAATTACCTTGTTGGGGCTCCACAGGGGGATAAGGAGTGAGCCTTGTACCAGCACCGAGCCTGCGAGGATGGGGCCATGCACGTCCCTTGGTTCCCTGCTATCTTTTTCTGTTTCCTCACGCTTCTGCCCACTGCCATTAAGTGAGAAGCTGCCTTTTCTCACTTGCACTACAACATCTCACACCTCTCTCTCTCCTTTTAGTATTGTATGCTCTTTAGTAACATCAAGAAGAGAGAGTTCTTCATGAATAATAAGAGAGAGACCTAAATTTACCCTTGCCATTCCCCGGGCATTGCTTGGTGGTGGTGGAAGAGCACCCCGCACCGACATCTGCTCGGAGGCACTAAAAACCAGCCCTTCTTTCTCTGAACAATAAGCTTAATTTTCTTCTTCTACAGGCAATTTTTTTTTTTTTTCTTTTGCGATGCACTGCAAAAGCTGAGAAAAGTTAGCAAAAGTGAGGGAGCCCGAAACGGTGCAAAAGTGGGTCAGAAATGGCAGAGAATGGGCAGCAGCGCACAGATACTACGTGTAGCTCTGCGGCACCACCCCACAGCAGGACTGAGCTCCCTGCCCTGCTGGGAAGGCAGTGAGAGAGCAGCCGCTTGCTCCTTCTCTGGACTGGGGAAGATCCAGCAAATAAGAAATCCATCATCAGTTTTGTCTGTGATTCACCACATCGTGCAGAAAGGCTTTTTTATCTAGCACGTCTGAGTGAAATCTGCCTCGTTTCATTTTTCAGATGCACTTGATTACTGGAGGTGCTTGATTCACATTTACTTTTGTCACCTGTTCCTCACAACTTTTTTTTTTTTTAAACTTTTTTTTTTTTTTTTTTAAATAAGTCTGAAAAGTAGCAAAAATTAAGCAAGGATGCACATGATTTTTTTTCTGGGATCCATGGCAGCCAAAACCATGTACACGGTCTAGGCTGGTTTATGGAAGAGGATGGGAAAACAAAGATGATACTTGCCCACACTAATAAAAATGTTGGCAAAAAATCGGAGCTTCGTGGGGGGTCAAAGTATTTTCCATTTCCAAAAGTGAACTTTGGCCTGAAGTACAGAGAGCTTGATTTTGGTTTAAGGGTGAAATGTTTCAGAACTTGTAAAGCTAATGCTCAGAAAATAAATTTTTGCAGTTCATGGTGTGCAGAGCTGCTGGATGAGATCAGAGCAGCCAACACCTCCCTTCCTTCCCGCAGACCTACTGAGCTTATGTATTTATTTACACTGAAATAGGAGCTAAAAGTGGTCAGGCTAACAGCTTCATTCAAAAAATCCGCATCATTTTCCTCCTCTTTGGTAGCATTTATGTATTTTCTTGGCTCTGTCTGACTTTGGTCATGTGCAAAATAATTAGGGAGATCGGGATCAAGGAATGTGTCAGCCCTGCTGCCTGGGAGTCACCTTATTAATTCGTTAAGCATGTGATTTCTGATTGTAATTCCCTCTGCTGTCAGCGTTCACCAGGTGTGAGGATCCAAATTCTGAGTGCTCGAGGCGCTGGCATCTTCCCAGCTTTTTTTGCGAGGATAACAGGGCAACATCTGCATCAGTGCTGCTGTTAAAAATACCTCCTGCCAAGAGATTTCATACCCTCCTTCAGCCATCCAATATTCCATCCATTTCCCCAGTTATAAGCCACCTCTTTCTTTTTTTTTTCTTTTTTTTTTTTTTTTTTTTTTTTTTTTGGCTGAGTCTCTTGGGTGCTATTCTGGAAGCTGAGTCTCTTGGGCCTTGTGTGATGCTTCACAGAAGGGTGAAGCTTCTCTGAATGCATCGCCTGATATGCCAATCATTTGATAACATCCTAAATAGATCTTAAACACGCACATGCACACACCCCCCCTTCAGAATAAGCAGCCTTCAGCAGGTAAAACCTCACATAGAGCACCCAGACCATTACATACTGTATCCAGACATAGGCAGGAGAAATCTCCTCCACCTCAGTCTCACGTTTCCAGCTGCTCAAAAATCAGGGCATATTTGAGCTTGGCTCAGGCTGAAAGCACCGTTTGGCCAAAATGTCTTCTAGAAAGGGGACAGTTTTGTGACACCAGCCCCCTGAGCAGCCCTCAACACGTCCCCGACTGCCTGTCAGGATGAGTTCCCACCATGGATGGGAGTAAGGAGTTGTTGAATGACACATCGGAGCTCTGATAACAATGTTGAGACAAATTGATGGACATCAAGGGGAGGCCTTTCATGTCCCTGGGTGGACATTGGCCAAGGCTGTTAAAACATAATCAGTTCCAGGTGGCATTTGCTCATTACAGAAGTTTCTTAGTGAAAGCAATTATAAAGCACTTAGAGAGGTTTAACTAATTAAAAGAATGTCCTCCAGTGTCCCACAGCTGCCTGGATGATGCCTTGAGAAGATGCTCTTTAGGAGATGAAGTCTCCTATGTTTTTTACTGAACATCTAAGAATTTTTAAATTATTATTTTGGGCTCTCTGCATTTCTTCAAGTAATACTAGACAAAGGCCAAGTATTAATGAAGTATCCACGTGGCCTGCATTTCATTAATTTGTGCACTAACAACTTCTGAAGAGTTCATTCATTTCTCCCCATCGGTGTTCCAAGTCTGAGCTTTCTGTTTCAGGAGGAGAATATTGCGATGAGATTTAGTGTAACCAACCCACAAACAGGAATAACCAATAGCTAATAAGCTCATACTTTGCAACCACAATACACAGTAGATCACCAGTCTGAAAATCTGCTCCTTAAACAGCCGCATTTCATAATTCCTATAACCTAAGGAAATCAGATTTGTCCGTGAATCGTTTCTTTCGCAAGAAAGGGACTAAATCCACGGCAGTTGGCATTCCTAAGACAAAGTCTGAGCAACTCCAAGTGGAGTTCAGCAAAACCCCCGCGACATTAAGTGTGAGTGGAAGCCGAGTTTAACAGCTGAAGTGTCACACTGAAATCCAGGAGGATAAATTAGCTATATAACAGTTGTATATATTTCCCAGAGCTGTTTGTACGTGTAGGTTTACTTTACCGCCTGCCAAGTGACATAAAGAGAGCAGTGTCAGAGCGCTCTATAAACACCCTCAGAGGAGCAGAAAGGGATGATGGCTGCACCTCTTGGGACAGGGAGACTCTTTTTTCCTGTCTCTCAAGATGCTGTCACTTTGCTGTCACTGCAGCTCGGGCTGGCGAAGCCTTTCTGCTGGGATTCAGGCTCATGACTGCATCTCTGAAGACAACTCAAGGGCTGGTCATGCCCAGCAAGCAGATTTTCCAGGTGTTAAACCCTGTCAGTGTGAGTGTTTAAAAAAAGCTAACTGATGGGTTTTCAAACATAAAGTCTGGCCAGGGATTTAGTCACTGCAGAAGCATGTGGTAAATACAGGCCCAGGCA